AATACAGCACCGATCTTTCAGAAATTAAACCGTCTAAAAGGAGAAATAAAGAACGAGAATGCGAAAAACTGTTGCTACTGTTCAAGAATAAGAACCGAAAAAAAAGTAAGTGTTGTAATAATAAAAAGACTACTCCTAAAAAGAAAAAAAATGTGTCAAATAAGAAAATTTTATAAAATAAATCAATATTTTTCTACAAAATAGAAGTGAAATTCCACCAAATACATTCTGTAAAAAACTAGCCAAGTCTCGATAAAACTGAAGTCGGAAAACCTAATTTTTGGGCGAGAGTAAAATAGCTTGGCTTATGTATTTTTCATCGAATTATATAAGTTTTTTGGTAATAAATATTGGTTATCGTTTGGTGACCTGATAGGAACTAGGGACTTTGTATTTGATTTGAGGGGGGCCCCTATCGATCGCGGGGCCTTGGGCACTTGCCCAAAGTGCCCACTGAGAAAGAGGGGTCTCCTTACATAATTATGTTAAACAATATAGATTATACAAAAAGTTGAATTATAAATTTCCTTCGTTTTTTAACCAACTTCAAAAAGGAGGAGGTTTTCAATATATCCGTTTTTTTATATTGATGTTCGCGCATATCTCTGAGATCCGTTGACCATTTAATTAAACATCAGTTAATTGACCGTTGGTTAGTTTCAGCCGACTCCGTTACAATAAATATGGTTTTATTTATTTTTTCATGAGGCAAGATAGAGAGGTTATTAATTATTTTAAAACATGTAGGTAATTGCCGATAAACCAAAATATAAATTGGCAGATATTTTTTGCAGCAATCGTTTTGTGTACGAAGGAAATAATAATATGTGAAAATATGTAATTGATGAACAGAGGTATGTCAAGATGACAAAATGAGTAAAACATACATATTTATAAGTTATAGTTAAGTTATCACTGTTTGTTTTCCTAATAATATGTTAATGTTTGATTTTAAGCTCGATGTTTATTTTACACTTTTTTACTGATGTATAATATAGAGATGTATGAGTGTACATTAGTAGTAATAAGTGATCATTATGCAAGAGAATTTCCTAAGATAATTAATGTATGTACAGTGCATGCCCCAGAATTGACCCCTATAGTAACCCAATGTCAATAGTTCCCTCTGCTTCTGTGGCGGCATCTACATGCCTTACATATAACCAACATGGAAGAATTAATCACTCGCCTCATGAAGAGATGGCGCTCAATAAGAATCGAAGGAAGCTTACATCACGCAAGATTAAATCGAAGGCAAACACCTAATATATGCAATGCCCGACCAACACCAGTCGGGCCGCAGCCCCCGATCTACCATCACCCAGCTCTGAGGAAAATGTTCACCCTTGGCTTTCCTACACTGGTGACCCTCGATTGAGCGCAGCAGCAGCAAGCAACCTTCAACCAACGCAGCTCCAAACATCATTCTTCACCCTACCCTTTCCTCATTAGGTCAAGCAACATCAACAGTTACACAGCAAGTCAGCATCAACCTCAAGGTTCTATCGCAGCTCTCGACGATGCTGCCTGGACCTTCGGCAGCACTCAACGGCATCATCCCGACCTGGTCTCCGCAGCCCACGACCGGTGCCTCACTTGTCGGCTACAAGCACACCGGCGTGCCAGCCCTGCACACCAGCAGTTCGGATCCACCGTCACACTCTACCCGTCTCGACTCACCGTAGACTGGCGTAACCCTGCAGCACTGGCGACGCGCCTTCACCCTACCCGTCTCGACTCACCGCAGACTGGGGCATTCTACAGCACACTGGCACTTTCAAGCTCTGACGCATTGAGTGCTGAAAAAGATGGACTATCCAGGATGTGATGTGGCGGCGACAGCTACGCGCCTTACGTGTTACCAACATGGAAGAATTAATCACTCGCCTCTTCAAGAAATGGCGCTACCGGCGCTGCTCTCAATAAGTATGGAGGCCTACATTACGCAAGATACATTCGGAGGCAAACACTTAATATATATCAGCCGGGCCGCGGCCCCGAAGTTACCATCACGCAGCTCTGAGGAAGATCTTCCCCATTTACCCTTCCTACACTTCAGTGTAAACACACTCTGGAGTACAAGTCCAAGTCCAGAAGCTCGTATTTTAGACGTACAGGTATTACTCGCCGAAGCAATAACGACTCGGCAACGAATGAGGGAGACATACGACATGCTCAAAGGCAGCCGACCGACCGAGACGAGCGAACGATGGGGCGAGATGCGACGCGAGAGAAAGTCCAGAAGGGGTTAGGGTAAGCAATACACAAGTATTGCTTACCCTAACCCCTTCTGCTACTCTACTGAGTCCTGAAAACCTTTCTCAGACATAAACGTTACACCATCAAAAGATTTCTTGCCCAGACGAATGTAAATCTAAAAATGTTAATAAAATTACAGCCTAAGTATTACAATTAAGTAGAGTCTAATGCAAATTGTATTTATTTATAAATTTGGTTGCGATTGTATGCTATATTATAAACTCTCCAACATCAATGAATTACTGCGTTCAAGCAAAAATTACGCAACAGGTAAGTAGTAAAGAGTGTTTTCGATCTCATAGATTTCATTGCTGGTGGGGAATTAGCTCGAAAACCACCACAAATTATTTACGACGACGTCTCTACCGCGGTATAATAGCCCGGCGTCTTTTATGTTTATCCACGGGTTATAATTCGCGTGCGGAGAGGATTATTCGAAAACGTAAACGTAGGTGCGCTCGCATTTTACACAGCCGCTGTGGCTTTGCCAGTCGTGAAAGTAATCTTCGGTGTGTGCACGCATTTAGACAGGGCTGTCGCATATGCGATGCATCAACAAAATGTAGTAGCAGTTTGTTGCAGACCTATTGGCGCGTCGCATCTCGCCCCATCGTTCGCTCGTCTAGGTCGGTCGGCTGCCTTTGAGCAAGTCGTATGTCTCCCGCACTCGTTGCCGAGTCGTTATTGCTTCGGCGAGTAATACCTGTACGTCTAATACTCTCGCCCGCCAGTAAATTTCTATTATTTTATCCGTCGCAGTGAATTGTAAATCTCCTCGCAGGATAAGTTTGAGTCATAGTCAAAATCTCTTCATTACAATGAAAGGAATCATCAAAACAATGTCAACAAAATAATATAAAAAGCGCTGCTTCCGTTTTCACACATTTAATCCTTTCGACGTGTAAAATACGAGCCGTCAGTTACTATTATGCTCTGAAATTTCGGCTGCGCCATTGTCATAAATATTGTCCGGGGATTTAAATATCAATTGCACTTCACAAGACTGCGTTGCTGACTTAACTTTTAATTTTATTGTTCCTAGATAGATAAAGGGATTCCCATCATTTGGTATTAAATTCACTTGTCATTATGGAACGAACAAAAATTCTAATTAAATAAATTAGAATTTTAAAAACCGCCATCCATGAAATACTGTGTATCCAGCAGCTAATTTGCGTGACTAGATAAAAGCTCCATTGTATCTTATAAGATTTGATCATGCCCACTGTTTTAACGTTAAATAATAAACCGTCCAGTAATGAAAACCTTATTTTGTGAGGAAATTTCGCCATTTTATTAATAACGGCAATACATTAAGCCTATTGTCTGTGCCGGTTCACGACTGATGGATAGATTGCCAGAGGCTAGTATAGTAACGCAAATCGTCTGTAATTGACTTTTATAAATTGTTCTCTTCTAAATATTCGTTTCTCCAAATTGTGGCAGCCTGAGACGTTTCGTTCCGAGGAAGCAAGAAACAAATTGACTTTTGATGTCCCGTTAATGATTTTCTGCGGTTTACGTTGAAGGTTGATCATCAATACTTTAATAATTCCTTATATGAAAGAGCTAATAGGTATTCGGAGACATTATTTTTAATGTGTTAACAGCTATAATTTATGTAAGAGCGCGGTGGACGAGTACACTCCACGCGATTTACAGTTCCATTTAATATCAGCCGAGCATAGAGAATGCTGCGGTTCACATTAATTTTCGGTCGTGCAAGAGGTAATCTGTACCATAAACTTCCGCGAGTTGCACATGGTCGAGGGTCAAAAGGACTATGAATATTGATCAGCTGCTAGGTATTTTTTTACACAACATATTTTCCTACTAACTTACTGAAAATATTTGGTAATTTAATAGGTACGATATTTTATATCGGAAAGTATACATTATTTTGGGATTATTTGAGGAGATCGATGGCGCAAGTGGTTAGTGCGTTTGGCTGCGATCGTTGCAGTTAAGCAACTTTCGCAATCGTCGGTCATTGGATGGGTGACCAAAAATCTTCTATCTCGAGATCCTCCGTGCTTCGGAAGGCACGTTAAGCCGTTGGTCCCGTCTGTGTCTGCAGTCGTTAGCACCCACCAATCCGCACTGGGCCCGCGTGGTGGGTCATGGCCCAATCTCCCTATTCCGTCCATAGGGAAGGCCTGTGCCCCAGCAGTGGGAACATTAATAGGCTGATGATGAAGATGATGATGACATTATTTTGGCACTATGTTATTGAGAGTTCGTTCATTCAACTGACATTCAACAAAAATACTTTTAATTTATTATTCGTCATTAATTTAGTATAAAACACGAAGAGCTAGAACAGGTAGATTAGTTTGCAAAGTTCGTTAGGCCATGAAATTATGAGTCACCGTTATATTGATCACATGTACATACGTACTGCATTACAGTTTATATTCTGGTAATAAATGGGCTTTCTATAATGGCGGTGCGGACAGATCAAGATGGTGTGTTCCGATAAATGTCGCATCCAATCACATGGTGTTGTATTACAGAGTGCGTGGTGTTGTTTACGCGGTGCAATCAGTATGTAAATATAAAGGGTAGGTGAATGCTCGGGATTGTGTGGGTGCAAGCCAGCGTGGCGCGGCTGGCAGGCTTCGCCGCGTCCTGCCGTCGTGCGCACGCCCAACATAGGTCTAATACTATTTGACACTATCTTATCCTATGTTGCGAATAATCGAGCTTCACAATTTGTTCCTCGTTCCAAGGATATTGCCAAAATGCGTTTCCACATCTACGCTCTCGTGATTTTAGTGCTACACGTCCCTAAAGTGCATTTAGTCCACGAGAAAGTCGAGCGGAACTGTAATAGTGTCTTAAACGACAAGGTTCTACTGAAACGTGCCACTTTGCAGTCGAAATACGTGTTCACGGGCAAGGTGTACCGTGTGAATTACAAGAACAATGTGCGAGTGTATAAAGTTAATATAAGGAGGGTGTTGAAAGGGGACTTGAACGAAATAGGTGTGAAAGTTCGTTTCGGGAAGCCCAAATCCTTGAGATTTAGCGATGCGACAGTGATGGTGGATAGTGCACAGTCCTTTAAGTGTCGCCCGTTGCGCGTACGCACGTATGCGATATTTCTCACGGAGAAACATCGCGATGAAGGCCTAATGAGTTTGAGCCTTGTTGTCGAGCCAGTGCTGCTAACTTTAAGGAACATCGCTTATATCGAAGCAGCTGTTAAAGGTAAGTGGAAAATATAAAATGATAACTAGATCTACCGTAAACGCCTCCATTCATTTGGGTTAACATTTTTACACATCATTGAAAAACCTTACTGCTACTGCACCGTGAGTGAAGGTTTAGTCACTAAATCTCAAACAAGGAGAGTGAAATAAGTATTTATCAAGCTGATTTAACAAAATTAAAACCTTACTTTAACTACTTATTTGTCATTAAAACGTCGTATTACGTTTAGAATTAATTTACTGAAGTCTTGGCTCTTGACTTATAATCTGTGTTAACTGTAAGGTATTATGTTTTAGTAGCTTTTATTTTTTTGGGATTGCGTTCAGTTATTTGGACATGATTGACAATAAACCAATAGTAATGCATTCGTATTTTAAAGAACTTATCATTTATTTTTTTAGTTATAGAAAAGGTGCACGAAAATATTATCGTCCTGCCCGAAACCAGATTTTTGCTATCTTTGTGGGAAACTTTGTCAACTTGCATATCCTTAAGTTTTTTACTCATGGCAGGTGTCCAGAATGTTTAAGTATCGGATTATTTATCCTATTAACAACTAAAAACATTTTATCATTGGTATCGTACAAGGTCCAGTGATTTTCTCTTACGGAACTTATAAATTGTTTGTAGTAATGCTAGTAAAACTTAAAGGGGTAATTAATACTAGGGCGGGGCTAATGTCACCAGCCGCAAAACGTTGGTGACGGACACTTACCACGAAATCTTATCGCGAGCCAATTCCGACTGTTAAAGCAAGACATCGCTGTATAACCAGTAGCACGCTATCCCTCTTCGACAGCTGCTTTTGGATCAGGTTAAGAATTCGTGGTACAGGCCCTAGACCGCAATTTCAATATTTAGATTATTTATGACTGGCAGTGGCTCAGGTAGCCTATGTTTATCTCAATCTACTGGTTATTAAACAAAATGTCGTCTGGGAAATGCGTCGGGAATGTTAATGGTCCTTAAGGACGAATAGATGGTCGCTGATACAAAAATGTTTACTCAGTTAATAAATGTGAAATGAATGATTTCATTTGATTTTTACGCTTTAATCACTTTGTGTGATAGATATAATTATACGTAATATCTTAAAGCTCTGCTGCGATCATACAAAATATTGGTATAGAGATAGATGGGACCCCGTCCACGATTTATAGGACGCTAGTGTCTTATTTAATATATACACATATCAAAAAAGTCTCAGTAACATGCAGCATTTGACAGAAAATGTATGTTTTATTAATTGATGTTTAATTTTTTTCTTAGCATAGTTTGGTTGACAATCTTTTTTGTACTCTGAAATATAATTGGCTGATTTTAAATACAGAAACTTGTCAAGTTTATTTATAATATGTAGTATAGTATAAATATTTACAATAGTAAAAATCGTTTAAAAGTTCAACACCGTGCGACATTCTGCTTAAGCTTAATTACTATACAGCCTTAAGGTATGCACAGTGACCAGTAGTGTATTATTTGTCCACTAAAAGTGTAAGCTTAAACACACGAAACACGCAGGAGTTCGATATAGTAAATTGGTCACCGATCCAATTATCGGTCATTGCCAAAGGCGCTCAACTTCCATGATCGCAGACTGAACGTGCGAGTTCGTTTATTAAAAAAAAAAGTAAAAAAAAAAGTACCAAGCAAGCTGAGTTTTATGAATATTTGTATACATATTCACTATGTTTAATTAAAGAGTGGCAATCAAGCATACTTAAGGCCCGCCTGATGGTAAACGGGCACCATAGCCAATATATGCTTGCAATACCCTGATCCAATCCCCTACCCCTTGGAAACCTGGAACCTTACTATTCTGTACTATTAGATTAAAGAAATTAGTCACCTCATATAAGCAAAAATTCCACAATTTACAATAGGTACCTATGAAATTTCCGTTCTGTCGTGCTGGCTATTTCAAGTACATTTTTTCTTTTTTGCTGAGAAATCTAAGTTATTTATTTATTTTTTATTTACTAATTTAGTACACACACAATAAAATAGATAAGAACAGGAACAAGAAATTTGTACTAGGGCACTGCTTATTTCATATTGAAATTTCTTCCAGCAGGCCCGCGAAAGGAAAAAACGTAAAATAAAAGGTCGTCAGTGTGTGTCTCCTGAATAAAAATAACAAAATACACTACTTACATAAACAAAACCTACATATATATCTACATAGACATACTAATAAACATATATACTAAATTGAAATATACAAGTGTTAAAAGGAGAAGCAATACAGTTCGGAAACAGTGAGTCAAGAGGATAGATAGTGTTCCTTCAACCGTTTTTTAAATGTAGCAACAGTTGGACTGTCTCTGATTCCTGCTGGCAGCGAGTTCCACAAGCGGACGGCATGTACCGTGAAAGAGTATGATGCAAATTCGGTTTTATGAAGAGGACAATTGAGGACCGATTTCAGATGAGACCTGCAAGGAACATTAGGCGAGTGGGTGAAAGAAAACCTCTCCCGAAGATAGGAAGGATAAGAAGGATTGTAAAGGATATTGAAGAGGAAACAAAGGATTCTGACATTCCTGCGCAGACGTATGGGGAGCCACTTGAGTTCCTTTCGAAAGTTGGAGACGTGATCATACTTACGAAGCCCAAAAATGAATCAAATAGCAAGATTCTGCAGGCGCTCAAGTTTATCAAGTAATGCCTCCGTAGCGTCTAAATAACAAACATCGGCATAGTCGAGAAGTGGGAGAATAAGAGATTGTGCAAGGGCAATTTTGGTATGTAAAGGAAGGAAATTTTGCAAACATTTTAAAGTGTGAAGCGAAAAATACATTTTACGACTAACGTCAGCGACGTGAACTGTCCATGAGAGGTTGGTATCAATTGTGACGCCGAGATTTTTCACCGTATCGCTGTAGGGGATGTTGATTCCACCTATGGACACTGGCGGCAAGTGAGAGGAACGGCAGGAACGTGACGTATACCTACTCCCTATTATAATTGCCTGGGATTTACTTGGATTAACTGAGAGACCATAAAATTGTGCCCAAGTACTAATACGGTTTAGGTCTTCATTAATGGCTGCTATCGTGAAGTCCATTTCTTCAATATCGAAATGACGATAAAGCTGCAAATCGTCTGCGTAGAGATGAAACTTGGAGGAAATTACTCTAGTAACAGAGTTAATGAAAATAGAGAATAGCAGTGGTGAGAGAACACCTCCTTGAGGTACGCCAACACAGAGGTCACACCCATCAGAGGTTAAATCATCAAGGCGAACATTCTGCGAGCGACCCCGAAGATATGAACCGAACCAAGAAAGAGCAGAAGTAGAGACATTTAAGGAACGAAGAATGGCAAGGAGAATATCAAAGTCGACAGAATTAAATGCATTGCTAAAGTCTAGCAATACTAGTGCAGTTAACGCTTTGTTTTCCATTGCCCAGCGTATATCATCAGTGACATTCACTAAGGCAGAGACCGTGCTGTGACCCGACCGAAAGCCAGATTGAAAGCTGTTTAGGAGGCTATTCGAAAGAAGAAAATGGGAAACTTGCTTGTGAACTATGTGCTCGAGAACTTTGGAAAGAAAAGGTAAAATAGAAATAGGACGAAAGTGACAAGGTAATGAAGGATTAGGGATCTTAGGTAAAGGAATTATGTAAGCCTTTTTCCAAATTTGAGGAAAACAATTGGAAGACAAGGAGTAGTTAAAGATGTGAGCTAATACAGGGAGTAGAGTAGGTAGAATAGGAGTAAACATTCTCGAGCACAAATTATCCTCGCCAACGGACTCAAAAGATATAGGTAATAAAGAATCTTTGACGTCATTCTCAGAAACTGTCGAGAAGTCGAATAGTGGACAGTTGGGTCTAGCAAGTTCAGACAGTTCCTTGAGAGTAACGGCCTTGTCGCAACTGCTAATATTAACTGGAGGGAGAGAAAAATGCTTATTCAAAGCGTTTAAGTCGGTGCCCGCAGGGACAGAAGAGCAAGATTTGCCCACACCGACTGACCGAAGTGATCGCCAAGTATCCGCTGTATTACGGTTAGACAGAGAATCATGGAAGAATCCTCTTAGCGTCTCTACACATACGACTGCAGCGATTACGGAGGCTTTTATAGCGAACCAGGTTGTCATCAGAGGGGCGACTTTTTAGTCTACGTTTGGCTTTATCCCTCAGTGCCATGATATTTTTAATTTCATTGTTAATCCAGTTATTTTTTTTTAATAGTAATTTTTTTAAATGAATGCTTTTATAAAATTTTGCCATTTATTTAATGGTTAGTATTCTGTTTTAAGCGCATTTGTACGTTTTAATAAAAATAAGATGTATAGAAAAAAAGGGCGTTAACTTATTTCATGAAAAACGACAATTTCATAAGTAAAGACCTAATACTAATGACAAGTTTCAATAGTCTATGTGTACCTTTCGTTTAAAAAGCCATATAAGTACTTCATCAACTAGGATACGTTTTGTGATTGTATGTGTTTGATGACGGGAAGGCATTAAAGGACTTAAAATAAGCTTCTTGTGTACATTTTGAAAAAGGATAGTTTCTTATGTGGTTCAAAGTATCTTAGTGTATCTACTACTTTAAGTTTAAACTAATTATACTTCATTAAAGATTCCCTCGCGAGTGTCAAGTAATGAGGTATAAACAAAACATAAATGGCCTTATCTTTTACTCCAAGGGTTTGCGGACTTGAGTACCTAGTTTACATTAATTTTCAGCTTGATTCCTCTACGCATTTCTGTCAAAAAGAGTCTTGACAGGCGGACAATTTTTTTTTCTTTAAATAAGGGTTTACCTTGCTTTGTAGTAAACTTAATACTAAAAAACCAATAGTTAACAACTTTTATTGATATTATGCTGCGAAAAAAAAAATAGTAAAGGTAATATGATGCGGTCAGAAAATAAGGTAAATGGTAAAAGTAAAATACTGGTTTTTAAAGAAGTTAAGTAATTGTAAGTTATGCACATTCTGTCAATATAAATATTACCCGTTCAATGACCAATATAATACAAATTAACTTTATTTTAGGAAATATTCATAATTTTCCATTCACGCGAAGTACTTATTATTTTGGTGTTTTAGTTTTGAGCTACAAAATTTTCCAAATAATAGAAAAAATATTTAGGAAGAAAAGACTAAATATGAAATTTTACAATTCCAAATTCTATATACCGAACTAGATACTTAAACTGACTAAGTCAGATTTAGTATAACTTTCGTTAGGAAAACTAACTAAACAAATGAAATACCTACTTAAGTTGCAGGCAAATTCACTTTTGTAATAACAAGTTAGGTGCCTCATGTGCGGGTGAGTATCTTTATAATAATAAAAAAATGAAGTAGAGAAAGTTTTAGTTTCTCTGGCGTCTGTCAGACCTTTATCAAGGCGATGTGTTGATATTGTTTCCGACACACTTGCTTAAATCGGATCCAGCCGTACCGAGAGTAATATCTTCTTAAGAGTATGAATATCCACTTCAAACACGCCTTGGCTTTAGTTGTAAACGAATGTAATGTTGTACGTGGGTAATTTTTGTGGTGTA